GGCTTGTTCCTTTGTTCCCAGCCGGGGGGCTACAAGGATGTGTTAAAATAGTATGTACTTCATTGGTGGTTGTGGTGAGGATTAGCTAGTAAGTGATGTCATGGAGATAACATGCTTGGATCAGAGTCTGGGATCTAGAAAATGCTGTGGTAGCGTTGGTCCCTGAAGATGTCCATGTCTTGATCTCCAGAATCTGTGACTGTACCACCTAACGTGGAAGAGCGGCTTTTCTGATTGATTGACTTAAGGGTTGTGACACGGAGAGATTATCCTCGTTGGTCCAGGTGGCCCCAGTATAATCACAAGGGCCCTTAGAAAGGTGGGAAGGTCTTAGAAAGAGGGAGAAGATGTGACAGAAGGAGCAGGGGTGGCAGCGATGCACTTCGAAGACAGAGGACGGTGCAACCCTAGGAAGAGGGGGCTGCTCGAGAACCTAGAAAGACAAGGAAACGGGTTCTCCGGTAGAGCCTCCGGAAAGAATGCAGTCCTGCTGACACCTTGATTTTAGCTTGGACAACTCGGGACCTTAGAGGAGAGCTGTTGTCTTTGATTTGCAGCCACACCTGGGACAGGGAAGCCCGCCTCCCCTTCCTCATGCCCGTCTGTGCCTGGTGTGTTTGGCCGAGCAAGGAAAGTCCTGTCGCCGTCCACACCCGCCCCACCTTGGGTCACTGGTGCCAGGGTGGGTCATTCCTGTCACCAGCCGGCTCTGGACATTGGAGGCGAACATTGTGTGGTTGTGGCCTTGCTGTCTAGTGGGCCCTTGGTGTCACTTGTTGTGCTGTTCAGTGGCTGTGTGTGCAGCTGGGGAGTCTGGTTTCTCTGAACGTCCTGTGGCTGGGGTGGGAGTATTTCTCTGAAGGTCTTTGCTGCGGCACAGAACCTTGCTCGGGGTCGGGCTCCTCCCGGGCTCTCCCGAGGAGCGCCTGCCTGTGCATTGGACCTTGCTCTCTGTGCTAAGGAGGACGTTCTCCTGCCAGGGGTGGCTGAACGTGGGATTCCTTGTCACGGGCTTGGGTTTCCTCCCCACCCCCCTCTGCCTGCCTGTGCTTGGTGGATGTCTGTGGCCTCTGGGTCTCAGGCGCCACTTGCTCTGGTTTTCCTGTGACCAGGGTCCTCGCCCAGTGTCATCCTTGTGACATAGGCGAGGCTCCATCCTCCGTCCTGCACTTGACCTCAGCCGACTGGCTCCAGCTGGGTCTCAGGGTTCTACTAGGCTCTCAAGAGGAGTTCTTTCTTTCCTGTTGGAGCTGGAAGGCCGGCATCACTGTAGTTATCTCGTCTCCAGGTGGAGCCTGGGAATGAGGCCATTACGCAGAGAGAGGAGCTGAGCTGAGAGGCAGAGAGGAACTTGGGGCCGAGCCCCTGGATCCAGCCATGCCTGACACGACAGTCCAGCCCTGAACTTACTGTTAAAAAGAGCAATAATTCACCGACCTCCCCTGCCCATTTTCAAGCTTGAATTCCGTTTCCATAGCTCATATGCTCCATGGCAAACTATTAGCTCTTAATGGGACACGGAGTCCATTCTGTCCTCATAAAGAGCTGCTATTTCTCTGGAGTCCGTCTTTCCAAATCCGCAGCACGAGGCCCTTCCTCCCACCCTGCCACTCATTAGGCACGCTCCGCTGTCATCATCTCTCCTGGCCACCGTAGTCCTGTTCCGTAGTGATGGATTTTAAGGCTGCGGGCTCTTGTCGGCATCTCTATTTAATTAATCTGCCGTAGGCTCAGGGATTGAGGGAAAAGCAATGACCTGCTGCTGGTGGCAATAAAAGTAATCAGTGGTGAGGGCAGGAGTTATGGTGGGAGGAACTTGACACATGAGGGAGGCTTGGGAGCGATTTTAAAAGTTTACTCTAAGAAACAAAAGAAGTAAAAAAAAAAGTATATAGGAAGTCATCAGCCTCTCACACGTGCTGGGTCTCCCTGGGCACGTGGTGTGCCCAGTGACGCCCTGTTCCACACCTGCATGTGCTTTGTGCCCTCACAGGGGTCGCAGTTTCCCCAGGGATCCTGGAAAGTGGGGCAGGACAGTCGAGAAGCCTGATTCTGTGACAATGGATGGGGCCTGCGTTTCAAGGGTGTGGGGCAGTATGAACTTCTATCCTGCAGCCTCAGTCACTGCAGGCCTTGGGGACACCAAACTGTCTCCCCTTGGGTGTCCTCATGTTCTTGCCCTGTGTGCACAGAGGCAACGATGTCTTTGTTAGAGGCTGGCTTCTTTGGTTGCAAGGAAAACAAGCTCGTGACTCTGTTTGTGTCTGGTTCCAGTGGGGTGAGCATGGAGCCTAACGCAAACTTAAGATCTCATCGCTCTGCTATTGAAACTCAGTCCAGACTTTTTGACGGTGGCTTTCAGTGCTTGGTGTGATCTGGCTCTCCCTGACTTCCCAGCCCCATCTCCTACCACCTCTCCCTCCCTCTCTCTGCCCCCGCCCCAGCCGCGTGGGCCTTCCTACCTCAGGGCCTTGGCACTAGTGGACCTGCTGGGCTGCTGCTCCCTCAGTCTCTGAATGGCTGATTCTGCCTTGTCAGCAGGTCTCAGTTCAGGTGCCATCTCCTCTGCCTCCTGCCCTGTCTCACGCTGTGTCCTCTCCTCCATTCTTTACGCCACTGCTTCCTTTGTCTTTGTCACAGCACCTCTGTCAGTACCTCACGGCAACTTGGTGGTTTACTCCCTTCCTGTAATGTCTGCATCCCACCCTGCGGTGTACAAAGGAGCAGGGACCCTTTGCCTGTTTGTTTTTTTTAACCCCTACTGTGTTCAGAGTGCCTTGCACGGTGCTTGACTCAAGG